ATCGTGCAGTGAGAACAAGCATCTGAGTATTTCATAACCCACTAGCTAGGGACATAAAATGGTACTCAAAAGCATTTCATAAACAGAGTATATTCCCTTCATACATTTCACAGCATACCAGATAATCGACTGATGTGTTATACTTGGAAGATATACTTCAGAATCAAATATTTTGGGAAAAGAAAACCTTCTTTCCTATGTGTGGGATTTTAAAATCACTTCACAAATCCTTCCTCAGGAATAGAGAGACCGTACAAATCGATTCAATTATTAAAACATCTCTCAGTCACCATATCACACTAGCACTGTCTGAAAACCATGAAGAATAGGAGGGAATCGATTCTGATTTATCCATCATTCACTTCAATAATCAGATCAATAACTGTGCAAGGACCCATGAGGTCACTTTATAAATTTTGTCTAATTTATTTTCTATTGAGTGAAACTGGACACAGAATTCAACTCAGAGATTTAACCAAGACATTTAATTAAACATGATGATCACAGTAAGCAACAGTATGCCTATTACATCTCCTCCAAGCATTACAGTCTGCAACTGCCTGAAGTATAGTAAAAACAACAAAGAATAATGATGGGAGGGGGAAAGGGGAAACGGTCATGGTTTTGCGCACAAGGATTTAAAAACAACATAACCAAGCCAAGTAATTGTAAATAAGTGTCTTGCCCATAAATCTACTTAAAAATAAGATAAAAGACTGGTAAAATATTTAATAAGTTAAATAAAAGGAATCATTCTGTGCAGCCACTGACCCAAATCAACAAAAGGCAAAGGCCAATTAAAATCCATCTACCCCATGACAAAACACAAGATGTAAAATGCCTTCTATCATGCTCAGTTATTTCTGATGCAAATAAAAACCAAAAATAGACTGAGCTTACTGAAATAAAGCATCCTAGCCATAGAAAAATGCCACTTGAACCTATAAATCTGAGAATTATCAGTGAACAGCATTTAGGTGCTGGATGGATGTACATTAATCAACTGGAAGCAGATTTATCCGAGCTGGAATCCTCAGTTTATGAGCACAAAATAATTACAGGGGCCCTAGCAATCACTGTTACAATTAAAGATACAAATGGATTTCTATTATAAACTCATTTTAAAGAGTTATAAATTACTTGCAAACATCTGCCCTGGACTGAAGGACAGTTGCTGTTTTAAAATTTATAATTGGGCAAAAACCCTCACCAGTATTCCAGATTATTTTGCTTACCATCAACTAAAAGATAGAATTTTTACTCCCAATGTATGCTAAAAGTGTGCATGCATGCATCTAAAATAGCTGACACTGATGTTTGAAGAAAGATTTGTGAACACAATGAAATTATTTTTCATGCATTTTATTTTCCACTCGTTACTTATTCAAACATAAAATATTAAAATGCAATCTGTTTATATACATTAATTGTATAAAGTTTGATGGCTCAATATGTACTGTGTAAATATGAAGAGGTAAAGAAAACCCAATTCCCATGACTTGATCAATACGGTCAAGAATACTGACCCACATATTGCTTGGTCATAGTTGGGTCATTATAGTTCCTGACAGTTGTAATTTATCTCACATCTGAGTCAAATGTTAAGACCCGTATTGGCCCACGTGACTGTGGCAACCCTGATCAAACTATGGACCTCATGACACTCTGCCAGCTATACAAATCTGATGGTGGCATTGCAGAGATGCAGTCCATTTCCTCAAGAGCATTAGACTTGTTAACTAGCCTTAAAGTGGGCTTATAAATTGTTGCTCTGAGTCAGCCATATGAAGGAAGAAGGCCCATATTAGTCTAATAATTGAAGAATATGCCTAATATGCTTTTTTAATTAGTTTCTACTTTATTAAAATTAATTGTATAATTGCACTTTACAAGGGACTGCCAAACTAAGATTGAGAGAAATTCAAATGTGTATTCAGTGCTCCCTTCTTACAGATGTATTTAGCACAACTTTGTGATCTTTAGGTTCCATGACTACTACTCTTAGTTTCATCTGACACTAGTCAAATACTTCATTCTTTGAACATCACCAATACTAGCAATCGTGAGTAAGAGTCGACTTGCAAACCTGTAGCGTTTTGAGACGGTGAATTCTCAGAGCATCACTGGTGACTTCAGAAGAGCTGCAGATTTACTGAACCACTAGAGATTGTTAAATACTTCATGTAGTCTAGCTACTATGGGAAACGACACATTTTAGGACTTGGTTTAAGTTAGCCATAGAGTTCATCACACTATATGGCCACTTTACTGACCAATGGAAATTAAAAAAAAAAAGGTAGCAATCAAGACACAGGCTGACTCCATTGGAGTAATTTCTGACACCATCTAAGGTTCAAGGGGGATTTGATCCCCATACTGTACTGTTACAGATTTATTTAAGTGACAAATGGGTTCCAACTTCATCAACAGTTAGATTGGCTTCCCCGCCACTGCAATGCAACTGTCCCTCTTGCAATGCTGGCTATCAATCTACATTGTGGCTGTAAAATTGACTGAAGTCACATTAAGCGTCACTCTTCTGCTTAGAAAATGCTGGCCAGAGCTACTTAAAAAATACCCTTTTAGTTCGTACTCAGATTCCCCACCCCCCAATCATGGAGCTTAGATATGGTAGCATCTGATGCTTTTAACAAATATCACACATGTTCACCAGGGACCATTTCCTCCTCTCCAGTAGTAAATCAAAGTAGACACACACACATGCCGAGATGCATGCATCTCGGCCAGAATCAACATGTGTCAAAAAAATGCTAAGCTGATTATAACATTTTCTTTAACTCCCCAAAGCTTTGCCAATTTTAATGGAATCTATAAATGGAATATCAAGATATGAAAGGTTCAAGTGCACAAACTAGGTCCTCCTTCAATGAACAGACATTACTTTTTAAAAGGAAATAAAAAAGTAACATGGGGGTTTTGGTTTTGTTTGTTTGGTTGGTTTTTTGGGGGGCAGATAATCAAGTATACGTTAAAGAAAGCCACAAGATGCGTTTAGATCAGCGAGTTCCACTTGCCACAGGCAAGTAGGTTTTTCCCCTCTTTTTAAACATGAAACAAGTCATGTTGGATCTCAAAAGGACATCTGCACCCGAGAGAGGAGAACCCAACATTCTGCCTTGGGTGCTTTGGCTCCCCATGCAGAGCACCTCAGATAGGAACCAAGAGCCTGCACACCCAGCAAGAAGCTGCCTAAAATACAGCTGCTAGGAAATGCTAAACAAGTGGGTGCATCTGAAAGCTCTCTAGAGTTAAAGCACCTCCTGCATGGCTACAGAACGGTGTTACCCTTCATCTGGGACCTGCAGCACAGGTGCCTCCCACTCTTTTAAAGAGTGGAGTAGGGCTCTCTCTGACTTCACCATCACCGCCTCTTTGTCTCAGCATCCAGTAAGTAGAGAACTCATTCAAGAAAGGGTAGATGTCACCTCCATGTTGAAACTAAAAGAGATTCAAACCCACACCCAAAGAGTGTCCCAATCACAGTGGGACAGGCAGCGCACTCCCCACTGAAGTTGTGCCACCGTGGAGCAAAGAATTCATTCACCAGGCCAGGGAGCGCACAATTCCGTAGTCAAGTGGTTACCACACCCACTTGGGACATCCCGTTTTCCAGTCCCTGTTCCCAGCACTGTTTCTATAATTTTACCCAGTCGCCAATTACAAAAAAAAAAATAAAAAAATAAAAAAAATATGAGGATTCTCAAAATGCTCCTCAGTAACTTGGAAACTGAACTAAGCATGCTCACCAAACAAGTAAAATACCGACAGCAAAACAAGAGACCTGAGGGGGCAAGCTTCCCCATATCCATTTCTTCTGTCCCTGCAGCACACTTTGCACTGGACCCCCACAGGCCAACAGCCTAAGGCAAGCTGGTAGTTTAGCCTGGTAGCTTCAATCCCCAAATCCTCCATGTCAAGAGGAAGACCAAATGAACAGCCATGCTAGTGACTGTTTGAGGAATGCACCTGCTCCTTTGGAAATCTGTGAAATCACCTCGTTTCACACGGGTCACGTTGGTCGGACAGGCTTCACAACCCTGCTGACAGGCAGAATATCAAACAGCCACAAGTCTTTTTCCTCTCCCACCCTGCAAAAGCCGTGTAACCAGACTCTTTCAGCTGTAGGGTGGGAAAGGAAAGACTTGTGGCTGTGGACAGTCTGCCTGTCAGCAGGGTTGTGAAGCCTGTCCGACCAACCTGACCCACGCGAAACAAGGAGGCGATTTCACAGATTTCCAAAGGGGCAGGTGCATACCTCAGTCACTAGCATGGCTGTCTCTGGGAGCTCATCTTGAAACACCCAGCAGTTACTGGTTCCTTGGTCAACACCAACTACGTTCAGACTTGGCCCCTAAGGTTTGATGGTTCCTTTGTCAACAATGTTCAAACTTGGTCCCTAAGCCTTGCCCAAGGTTTGACGCTAGTCCCGTTTTGGTCAACCAGTGTAACTGCACCAACGCAAACCTCACGCTTTGATTGAGTGGCGACTGTTTCTAAATGAGCTCAACCCGAGACGAGCTCAACCACTACAAGTCAAAGCTTCTCTCGAGCCATCAATGCAGCTACCTCAGCCGCTAGTCACAGGCGGTCAAACCAGCCCAGACAAGGCCCGAGAAGCCTAGACCTCCACATCCTACGATGATTGCGAACAAAGCCCAACCCACTCCTCATACGGCGTTCATTGCTGGAGTCTCCAAATAGGCCTTGAAAACACAGACACCGTAGCAGGTCGGCGGCAGGGCAGGGGGACACAGAGCCCCCTCCTCCGCACCCTCGGCAGTTGTACGTAGATGACGGACGCGTATAGGACCAGATGGGGATGATCCTCCCTCAGGCAGGGGGTTGGACTGGACGACCTCCAAAAGGCGCCTTCCAGCCCAACGCCTCCGCCTCATCAGGCCGCGTCTTCCCCGCCCAGAGCAGCAGGGTGCTGGACCCGGCAACCTAACCGCTGCCGCAGGAGCCACGCGGCCACGTACCTGGTGCGCAGGGCCTGCCAGGCGGCGTCGATGTCGGCGTACAGGTTCTTCTCGGAGGGCTTGCCCGTGCTCACGCCGTAGCCCGAGTAGTCGTAGGAGAAGACGTTGCAGTTGATGCGGGAGCCCAGGCCGATGTAGAAGCTGCACATCTGGCCCAGGTCCACAGCGTTGCCGTGCGAGAAGAGCAGCGTGTAGCGGCCCGCGGGCGCGCAGCGCACGAACATGCAGCCCAGGTGGTTGTCGCGCGCCGTGCGGGAGAAGAAGACCTCGACGGCGTCCAGCTCCCGCTGCGAGTACTGCCAGTCCGCAGGTGCAGGCTGCAGGTGCCCACACCCGGCGGTGTCCCCGCCACCCCGGCACCGGCCCCGGGCCCTGCTCCGGCCCCCGGCCCCGGCCCAGCCGTCCCGGGCCCAGCCTCCTGCTGTGGCTGCGGCTCGGGCGGCAGCACGGTGTAGGTGGGCTCGGGGGGCAGGAAGGCCAGCTTGGCGGCGATGCGGCTGGGGCAGGGGGGGGCGCCGAAGAGGCAGCACACGGCCCCCCCG